ATCTAAAACACCTCCATTTAATAAATCCCCCAACCCCCTCTATCCTCTAGAATCAAAAGAATAAATAAATAAGAACTGAATTAAAAAAGCTCTTTCCAGGGGCAGAGGGACTGGCGTGGCTGGCTGGCTGGTCACTCGGTCGCGATGGAGACGATGGCCGCCTTCCTCACCCCCTTCCTCCTGCTTTTATCCTTCTCCCCGACCATCTCCCCGCAGGAATGGAACACTCAGGATTACATGAAGAGAGAGCACTCCCTCGTGAAGCCCTATCAAGGTATGGTTTTTTAAAATAGGGAGAAAGGGTTGTTGGAAAAAAATTAAGATAGGAAAAGAAGGGGGGGATGTTTGTGTGTGTGTGGTGTTTCTCTCTCACTCTCTCTCTCTCTTTCGTCTCAGGTGCTCGGGTATATTTGACAGATCGGGGGGGTGGCCTGTCGTTTTTTTGTTTTTCTCTCGTTTTGTTGGTTCTTCTTCAGTTTTTTTAGGTTCTGAAATATGTTTGTATATTGACATGTCAGGCTTAGTCAAGGCCAGGCTGGAGGCTCAGGGATTAAACAAGGAAAGAAATAGTTTTGTCTTTTCCTTCTTCCTTCATTTATCTTCGGAATTATGGAGGTGATATAATTAACTGAATGTGAATTTGGAGGAACTTGAATATTAGTTTTTGGCTTGGATTTTGTCTTTCTTCTGAGGGAATTGGTTGGAAGGATTCTAGCGAGTATTTTAGCGACAATAAAGTAATAGTTTGTTTTGTAATCTTTAGAAGGATAGAAAGCTAATGGTTAGTCTGTATACTTTAAGGCATTGACCTAAAAGAGGTTCGTAATCAGTACTTGCCTAAATGTCTCCAGGATGATGGCTGAAAAGATCTAGAAATTGTATGTCCAAAACGCGACTAAAATTTCTTGCGGTTTTAAGGATGAACAAGGGAAAGCGCATTTAAGGCGTGGTCCTGTGAGAAAAATTATGTGCATTTTAGCTACAGTATATACATTTACCTACTATTTTACTTTTGAATAAAATCTGCGTCAAATCACATTTTTGATAAATAATATGCTTGTAATTATTATATTTGTCAGATATCTTGCCTTTTATGGAACAAATTTACGACAGTACGAAGTTCTTAACTCAGATGAACAAACAAACCCCATACCAAGTCTAGAAACTACCCAATAGATTGCCGAATGAACCAAAATCCTTCCTAATCTAGGAGTTTTACCCTAGAACCCCCTACCAATTGCTGCATTTCCTTACCAGTAAGTTTGTCCACCGAATCCCCTTCCTAATTAGATATTTTTGTATATTTTTATGGTCTGTGCAGGAATTCAAAGTAACATGATACTAATTGACATATCTTAGTATTAAGTCATGTGTTCATTGCAGTACTTGATAGTGTCCTGTAAGGATCATGAGTGACAGAAAAAATTGGTTGTGTTAAGAAATTTAAATGCTTATTGTAGGCAGACTGTGCGAGGACAATCCTTTTTATATTTTCATGCAGATTGTTCAATGTTTTGAGGAATGCATCAGCAGTATAGAGGAATATAAAAAATAGATTTTAGAGAATGAGAGAGAGAGGAGACGTTTTCTGTCATAAATATGATTATTTTAGATGATTTCTTTTAAGAATAATAGTTGTATAGTTGTTTTCATATAATTTTTTTTATATTTTCAAATCGGTGTTTACTAAATACTTGAACATTGTAAACCAACTTACATAAACAGCATAGAATAAAATAAAAATAATAAAAGAGAAAATTTAAAGAGTTGAGAATTTCTACTTCTGATCCACCTTTGGGTCATATTGTAAAAGCAAGTGATGCAGCATGACCCACCGGTGAGTTGCATCGGCACGGAAAGTGTTAAAACTTGGCATGCGTCATTCTTCAATACTTTATCCATTTTATCAGTTTATTAGTTTTATATCTGAAAATTTAGTAAACGAAGCAAGACAGGTGAGAACAGATGGAGTAATGTACTTTTTCGGCAGATTGCATGGCCACTTAAAAAGCCTGCTCACATTGGGTTAAAAAAAATATAATTATGTATATTGTATTTATAAATATTAACTTGTGTTTACTATAACTTATTCTACCTAATTTATCAATAAAAAAATAAACATTCTAGTTGTATAGATCCTTTGTTGCACAAGATCAAGATAGAAATTAGGCAAGAGGGAAGTGGTCTTTACCATCCTTGTCTGGGAGGCTTTCCATAGGCACGTGATACATGCAGAAAGCCTCATATTTGTGTGTGAGTGTGATAGGGCATTAATATTGCAGTTAAATTGCTGTGTTTAATGTTTTCTATCATATTATGAATTTTGTGTTTGCAGACCCCTTAGAATAATATTGTCGAATCTGTATGTGTTAAAATTAGTGAAGTATTATCACCCACCTTTAGTGACTTGTGTATATTATATTTATTTATTTATTTATTTTTAATTTTTTGATAAATGACCTTTTTTTAAAACAGCTTCTGCTGATTGATTTTAGGATGGTCTATACAAGCCTGTTGAAGTTTCAGGGTGTATTTCAAGAAGGGTGAAAATATTTTTTTTCTTGGTAGATTTGATATAAAAAGAGAGAGTTTTTTTCCAATTTACAACACATAATGACTTGATATTCTAGTGAACTCTTTAAAGATATCCAAAAACATAGCAAGCCGTTGCAGGAGTTGTATAGGAAAATACGAAGTAAAATTGCTATGAGTAATTTCTTATCCCTTCCTATATCCTCATTGAGTTTATCATAGACTAGCTGGCAGCTTTATCCTAATATATGTATACACTCAAGACTCTAAAGGCCCCATCACACTAGCACTTTTCCTGTCAGTTTTTGTCTCCATATGAACTTTCCTTATGCAAATGGACTGACCTTATCACACTACTAAGGCAACATAGAAAGTGCTCATGTAAACAAACTTGGCGCCATCCAAGTGAGGTCCTGGGAATCGCACGGGCATTCTCATAGATATTTTTAGAGAAATATAGTATGTGTATTTTCTAGAATCTTAACTTCTGTTTACATTAAATTATTCTATTTTTCAATAAGTAACATTCTGGTTGAATAGAAAGTTCGAAGCACAAGATCAAGAAAGAAATTAGCTACTTAGAAATGGTCACAACGGTCTTTGTCTGGGAGGCATTCTGTTTGCATGCAATACTTGCAGAAAACCTTGAATTCAGATGGAAATTGATGAAAAAAGTGCTAGTGCGGCAGTGCTTTAAGGGGCATTCAATGTCCATCAACATTTAGGAGAGAATATTATACTCGGTTGCTCTTAGAGAGTGAGGGACAAGCCCAGCCTCCCCACCCCCCCGGAGATAGGTCACAGGAAAGAGGTTTTTAGAAGGAGGAGGAACTAGGCAACAGCTATACTATTTATGCTATAATACCACCTGAAACCCTGAGACTGATAGAGATACGGAGAACAGAAATGGAGCTGTAAAAGTAAGGAAATGGCACATCACTCAAACACTGATCCTTAAATTTTTTTTTTCTTATCTATCCATAGCTATTGAACCAATTCTGACAAGACTTATATTGTTGATTTTTAGAATAATGTAGACATTTTATTTGAAGACATGCATCTCATCAGAACCTTTCAAACAAGCACAGATATAGAAATTATTATATATATATATTTTTTTTAATACTGGCTAATTGATATTGTTCAAGGTCATATATCTGATTTTTTATCATCAATATATTTAATGTATTAACACGGTCCATTCCAAGAACATTACTAGATTTATTTTTTCCTTGTTACCCACACTGAGGTCATCCTTTAGACAGACAGCATGATACAGGCTGTACTGAAAGATAGAGCTGAGGCTGATGTCCCCATTCCAATGTCTTAGATTTTTGTACTATTCCCATAGTATCATCACAATCATCATCATTGTCACAAAACAAAACTACAGTGGATAGTGCTTTGTACCTAGTACTAGTGGATTAACTTACATTTAAATCTAGTAAACAAACTAAATAGGTGAAAGGAGTGTGATTGTTAATGTTTCTCCATAATACATGATTGACTTTACATTTACTTATAGGAACAAGTCTTGAACCTGTTGAAAGAAGGGTAGGAAATTTATATAGTTTGTAAAATAAACAAGTATTTGTTTAGTGATGCTTTGCATGAATTTCATCACATTTTTGTTGTTTCTTACAGGAATGGGCACTTCTATACCATACTGGGATTTCCTGGGTAACACTATGGTTACCAACAATTATATTCGCTTGACCGGAGATGTCCAGAGCGTGCGAGGAGCCGTTTGGAATAAGATCCCATGTTTTGTACAGAATTGGGAAATGCAGATTCAGTTCAAAGTACACGGACGGGGAAAGGATCTGTTTGGTGATGGCTTTGCCTTCTGGTGAGTGCAGATCTTGAAAGTATTTTCGTGAATTTCCTTCCAGGTTTGTTTCTTTGTCTAGTCTCTTTTATGTATGCTAGTATTTTCTTATTCAGGAGGTACTTTCTGTTCTGCCAGTTAGGGTAATTTCCAGTATTTTATGAGAAATGTGGAATAAAAAAGTGTGATATATTTATGATACAGTAGAGATTTCATTCCATATAGAGGTAAAGAATATTGATGAATTGCTATGTTTAGTATGAAATGTTTTGTTGATATGGAGCTGCTTCAGTATGTGTATGAGTAAAGTACTTGAAAGGGAAAATCTACTGTAAGGTAAAGTAAGAAGTATGCATGCATGAGTTAGTGATAGTAAGAACATTTGGCTATATTTAAGCAAGTGTATCTATATCTCCTAATGTTAAAAAAAACAGTGCAATAGTTTATTTCCTATGATTTCATTTCCTGTCTGATAACACCAAAGAGCATATTTAGTTTTGCTTTTGATACATTTGTGTGTGTGTGTGTGTGTGTGTGTGTGTGTGTGTGTGTGTGTGTGTGTGTGTGTGTGTGTGTGTGTGTGTGTGTGTGTGTTATATAGTAGTAATTGTCACTATTATTTCCAATAGGTGGAGATTCCCTTACAAGTAATAGCTTTTAATCTCACAAAATAAACCTGATCAAAACTTGTAGTTACCACCCCTTGTATATCTTTGATAGTTAAGTGAAACCTACTATTTACTTTTTTTTATCTATCTACTTATTTAGTCTTAATTGTTTTATTATTTTCTTCTTTCTATTTAGGTATGTGAAGGACCCAATGGTTGAAGGTGATGTTTTTGGCAGCAAGGATTTCTTCACCGGATTAGGGGTTATTGCTGACACTTACAGCAACCACAATGGCCCTCATAATGTAAGATTCGGGTCTTTCCTGTTGATTTAGCTCTGTGGTATTTTATTCTAAAGATAAAATGTGTATTGACACTTTTTAGAGAAATTGAATCTGGAATACTTCTTATTGCTTGTATTGTAATAGTTCATTAAAGTTTCACGGTGGTTTCTCAAGTCTGGATTTCAAAGAAGAGTAATTGCTTGAACAACAGTAACGGTCCTAGAAATCCAGATAACATCAGAAAAAAAAATATACAGATAATCTTCATCTTTTTCTTTTTTTTCTTCTTCTTCTTCTTCTTCTTCTTCATCTCCATCTCCATCTTCTTCTTCTTCTTCTTCTTCTTCTTCTTCTTTTTTACCAAATCCAATATTTATTTCATGCCATGTCTCTCATAACACTCAACTCCATTTTCCATTTGTACAGCACGGCCACCCATACATTTCTGCGATGGTGAATAACGGTACTCTTCACTACGATCATGACCGAGACGGAACTCACACACAGCTCTCGGGATGTGTGGCAAAGTTCAGGAATTTAGATTATGACACTTACCTGTCAATCAGATATAAGCATGACACACTAACAGGTAAGTTAGTGATATGGACAGTATGGGTATGCTTATCATTTATTTATTCATGTTATTATTGTTGATGATATTGTGTTCATTATCTGGATTGATGAAATGTGTAGTTTGAAATGTCGTGTTCGTCTTTATCTTTCGACTTGTCTGCTTACATCGTAATTCTATTCTTCACCTACTTTTTCCTCATTCTCTTTCTCCTTTTCACCTACTTTTCCCCTTCCTCTTTGTCCTCTTTTCCACCTACTTTTGCCCTCTTCCTCTTTCTCCTCTTCACTACCTACTTTTTCCTCATTCTTTTTCTCCTCTTCACTTACTTTTTCCCTCTTCCTCTTTCTCCTTTTCACCTACTTTCCCCCTTCCTCTTTGTCCTCTTCTCCACCTACCTTTTCCCTCTTCCTCTTTGTCCTCTTCTCCACCTACCTTTTCCCTCTTCCTCTTATCCTCTTCTCACCTACCTTTTCCCCTTCCTCTTAGTCCTTTCCCCCTTCCTCTTTGTCCTCTTCTCCACCTACCTTTTCCCTCTTCCTCTTTCTCCTCTTCACTACCTACTTTTTCCTCATTCTCTTTCTCCTTTTCACCTACTTTTTCCTCATTCTCTTTCTCCTTTTCACCTACTTTCCCCCTTCCTCTTTGTCCTCTTCTCCACCTACCTTTTCCCTCTTCCTCTTTCTCCTCTTCACTACCTACTTTTTCCTCATTCTCTTTCTCCTTTTCACCTACTTTTCCCCTTCCTCTTTGTCCTCTTCTCCACCTACCTTTTCCCTCTTCCTCTTTCTCCTTTTCACCTACTTTTTCCCTCTTCCTCTTTCTCCTTTTCACCTACTTTCCCCCTTCCTCTTTGTCCTCTTCTCCACCTACCTTTTCCCTCTTCCTCTTTCTCCTCTTCACTACCTACTTTTTCCTCATTCTTTTTCTCCTCTTCACTACCTACTTTTTCCTCATTCTCTTTCTCCTCTTTACCAACTTTTCCCCTTCCTCTTTGTCCTCTTCTCCACCTACTTCTTCTTCTTCTTCTTCTTCTTCTTCTTCTTCTTTGTAGATATTGCTGAAATCTTTCTTTTTCTTGTCATAGTGTAATTAAAATCAAATGTTAGTGGAAGGAATGGTAAGAGAAACCAGCTTATGCATTGCCTGTGAATACTAAAGTCATTTTGAGAATAAAGACTAAACTTGATGAATAGTAATAATAGCACCTGCAGAATTAATGGAAATTATGAGTTATACATTTTATATTTATAGGTGAATATTCAGTTGAGCATTTGACTGTATAGCTAACTCTTGAATATATATAGAAATATTAAGTCATTTGTGAGAACATCCTATTTTGTGTGTGAAAAAATGAGATTACATATTGCAGAATTTTGAGGAAATTAGGTTGTGGATAATATTTTTCTTTTATTTAGAAAGGAGTATGAGATTACAAATAGGTATTATTTTTTCCTTCAGGATATCCTTCAAGACCGAGCCAATGTTATGCCGTCTGCCTCATTTTTTGAGCCACCAAGAGGTAAGTTGTAAGCTTTTTCATGTCAGTATAGGATAACCCATTTGTTTTGTCATTGTCTGCTCACACACACCAGACTACACTACATACCACATTACATGCACAAGACACACTGCAAACACTACAGACATTACGCAGAGTATACACACTACACACACTATATGTGTCACACACCACATACACCATATAGAGGTTTAAAGAGGTATATAGGTAGGTTGCTTTGAAGTAAGGTTCATTGATCTGTATCTTTGAAATTTAATTAGTCAGTGCAATTTGGCTGATTATAAACATAATTATGATCTTTCAAAAAAACTGAATGGTTCTTATAACTAAACTCGGGACAACAGTTTATTTGCTTGACAGAAAAGTAATGTGACACTTATTTACACATAGACTTAGTACAACTGGTCGATACAAGATTAAGAGCTCTCTGATTTGGATTCTGACTTGGGCCCTTCAATTGCAGACCACGTTGACGACCCCAAACCTTCCGAGTTGTCGACCTGGAAAAAGGTTCTTCTCCTCATCTTTGGAGTGTTGGCAATCTGCGGCTGCGTCTTCATCGGGGGCTTGTTCTACGTCAAACAGAAAGAGCAGCAGCGGAAGCGGTTCTACTAGAAATTGGATTGTTTTCCTTTCGCATAGGGGAAAATATTTTTAATGAGAGTGAGAGTGACTGGGGAAAAAATGTTTTTCACCTCTGTTATAGATGGAATTCTTTTAGCTGATTTTTAGCATTTTTTTTTTTTCTTTTTCTTTTTCTTTCAATCCTTCATGAAAAAAAAAAAGTTGAAAGAATTTGAGCGTTACCAAACAATTTTTAAGTCGAGAACTTAGTAATTGACAAAAGGCATTATCTTTTTTATGGTTGAATGATATTGTGAAAGTCTCAGTGTAAAAAGTCAGTCATAGTTATTCTATTTGCATTTTTACTCTAGTGATTTTAAGTGATATATAATGATGTATAAGTGATATATGGCTCATCATTCTGAAAATTGTCACGAAAGTTGACAGACGCAGACAATTTTTTTGTACGAGTTTAGGAAGTTTTGGAATTTGTATCAATCCTCAGAAGAAAAAAAAGTTTGCAAAAGGTGATTTTATTTTTTATTTATTTTTTTTTTTTTGTAAAATGCATAATGAATTTGTAATATAATGTATATTTAATTTATTGGTGTTAAAACAGTCAAATTGTGTAAGTTTCTTACACTGACTTAAATTTGACAAGAAGCAAATTACCAAATACTGAAGAAATGTACTCTTTCAAAGGGCAATTTGTCGTAATACAAAGTTTGATCAGCACAATGCCAGGGTTCTTAAACAGGAACTCTGGGAGAGGAAAAAGTACCTCCCCCCCCCCCTTCTTTTTTTTCTTTCTTTCTTTTTTTTTTCCTCTCTCTTTTCTTGTGATAAAAGTTGTCTTTTTCCTGCTCAGGATTAAATGAGATTTATACCGTACTTGGCGATAATGCTTCCTCATTGTGAATATGTCTTACTTCCCTGATCTTTGTGTTTTTGAATTAAAGCCACATTTTTTATAAGGTTATGGGAGATTTAGTTATATTGAGTGTGTGTGTGTTTGTGTGTAAATATTTTAATGATTATTACGATTTTTTTTTTTTTTCTCTCTCTCTCTCTCTCTGTTATCTTTCTGTGTCCCATTACGTGTTTTGAGTTTTTAAGATTCAAAGAACTGGAGTGAATGCCTACAAAAAAAACCTGTCATTTGCTCATTGTAGCTATACTACCATACCTTGGCGTTATTCATGTAATAGTTTAATAATTTTGACTTGTTTAGTGAGACATCAACTTATGATTATTTTTCACAAGGTCCGATTTTTTTTTTTTGTTTTAATCGAAGTGTTGGGGTGCATGGTTCCTGAACGAGCAGCAATTTAAAAATGTATCGATGTCCATTATATTAAGGCCAATGATAATCCCTTTGTTTCATCTCTATATTATTGGTAACTGAGTTCTAGTCAGTTCATCATAAGGATCACACACACGTTTTGTAAAAGATGATTTGGTGCAAGTTTTGGTTGCGTTTTTTGAAAAATGTTTTTATTTTACCATATTCCATAAAAATGATTTTTGAGAGAAAAATATTTAGTAAAGCAAGCCTTCTTCATTTTTTTTTTTTCTTTCTTGCGTTTCAGTAGTTCACTAAACAATGCCAAAATTATCCGTTTGATAAGACAGTGTATATTTTAATAAAGCTGGATTTATTTTCCGTTTTTTCTTAACATCATGATTGCCAGTATCTGTTATCTGTTTGTTTTCAGATGATTTATATGAATACCCCATGATATTCCATATTATTGTAAGTAAAGGTGTATGTGAAAAATAAAAGGTATTTTCTAGTGGAAGTTTATTGATGTGTGTCTCTTAACAGGAGTCTCAGGGGTGCAAGTCTTGCTGTGGAAAATGGTAAATTCTATCGGAACAGTTTACGCTCGAGCTTTTTAGCTATGGCGGTGTTTGTACCTTCGTATTCAGAATTTACAGAATGTCTGGCACAGTTAGATAAGGACTAGCTAATTAGAAATGAAAAAAAAAAACAGTTTTGAGATACATTTTGCATTTTCTCATATAAATTTGTTGGTGTATGAATGTAATGTATGTATTTATGCATTTGTGTGCATATATGTGATGTATGTG